AAGTTGCACTAATGAAAGAAAGAAAAAGGCTAATTTCATACCTGTTCGGAGTTCAGCAGCATGTGTTTGTTGCTTGCTGTGGGGTAAAGATTACGTCTACATTTTAGCTTTAACACATGAACCACTATTTATATGATTCTGACTCAGGGGACCTCAGACTTCAGTGAATTAAAATTTACTCCTTCAACCTTGCTTTTGTCAAGATCCATGAATCACCATGACTGCAGGTAGCCTAGCAATGAGGAGGGCTAAGGTCATAAAATGCTGAGAACTAAGGTGACTGTGAAGCCTTATAAAACAAGTTGAAGACCAAAAAAATTCTGGATTATCCACAAGATATCCACATGATATGTTATAACACAAATGTGGAGTGACTTTTATCAGTCTTGACGGAGTTGGGAGAATGGCTCTATCTGTCTGGGGCCACTAGGGATAACAAGCCTTTCATACTTGTACATCAAGTTGCCTCACACTACAGAAAAAGGAATTAGGCTTCTGCCTTATGGGCTATTTGCGGTTCCAGCGTGCTTTACTTACTCTGACAGTGACAAGGACAGAACATGACTATAGCTGTTTTCATATTATCTAAAAATAATGTCCTAAACTGTCAGCTGCAAAGTGTGCACGCTCCTCGGTACAGTTCAAATCCAGGTTTATGGTCTGTTGTCACATACTGTGTCTGTATTGTGTGTGTCAATTCACTGCAAACTATGACAAATGGATAGAGGATAAAAATAAGTGGTACTGCGGCGCTCTGGCCCTTTTGGCGCATGGTGCATGAAGCGTTCACAATCAATGGAAAGCAAGGGAAGGTGTGCTTTGTGCTCGTCAGTAAAGATTACACACTGAGTGCGAACCGTAGCTTTCCAAATGTATAGGGGATACTTTTGTCTTCCAGATGTTTGTCAAAGTCACAATCAGTCCAAGGTTGACTGGATTGGAAAACTTGTAAGAACCGGGATGATATATTTGTCAGTTTCAACATGATTGTAATTTGCAGTGAGTATCGCAGTGATGACTTTATCAGCACAGGTTCGGCAACATGTTTAGCTCCGTTGCTTATTCACACTACATAGACCAGTTGTGACAGTAAATCTAATGTCTCCAGCCTAATTATGCCTGTTGGTGGTGTGCTGGATGACAGCCAAGAAGAAAATGAAATGAAGTGGAAAAGAATATTTAAATACTCAATGTGATGGAGTGATGGAGTATGGCGCAGCGTCGTGGAGCCAAAGTGGTGAACCCCACTTCCTGTCTTTATGTTGTCTACCCTACTGAAGTGTCCATGAGCAAGACCCTGTAGACCAGTGTAAAGAGTTGTGAGTGATGTGCAGGCTTGTCCCTGTTCAGTCATTTCCTATGACGTTCTGTTGCTGATTCTTCTGGCTGTTAATATCAGCACCATCTTCTTAGCGTCGAGTAGGAGGAGTATATTATGTGTATTGATCATTAGTGAATATAATTAAATCTGATCAATAAGGAAAGACAGCAGTTTCTCAGAGCCGTGTTCTGTATCTGTGCGGCATATGAACGTGTATATTCATGACTGATCTGTGAGAGAGCGCCTGCTAGAATCGTAGAGAAGAAACCTCGTCACTGTGACACTGGGGAGGGGGGCACTAGATTCATGATGGGTGTATTCCATGATATTATGGAGCACTTCACTGCACAGGAACAATACAATACATAGAGCTGGTCCAAATAAAGTGTGAACATGCTATTTATGGGTGTGCAAGTGGGCAAAGCCTGTTGTGTATGTGACAGTGCCTGTAGGAAGGGCTCAATGTGTGATAAATATTACATTAACAGATTTTCTTCTCCACTTTGCCTCTGCCCCCCCCCCTCCACATATTTCTGTTTCCTCCTAATTCATCTCTTTTGCTGTTGGACAATGAGTTGACTTCGGTCACATGCATGATAGGAGATCTCATAGGGCTTCAGTAGATCTCTAATTGAATTGTCTGAGCAGCTAGAGATGCTCATTTGAATCTGGAAAAGAGAGCGCAGTGAAAGACTGGCACTGGAAGAGCATTTCATCTCCTGCGCCCGTCACGCCGAGTCCCATGCAACATTGATTGCCTGAAAAATGGATCAGTTAGACGAGTCTGTTTGAAACGCAGAAGAAAGGGCGCGTGCGGCTAATGCCTTTCCATATTTGCCCTCAGCAGAGTGTTATCATGCCTTACGTGATAACATCTGTTAATAGTCTTTGTTTCATTTCGAGTTGTCTTACGAGCCATCGGGGTCACAGCCATGACCACAACCACGCTCCTGAACAAGCAAATGCTGAGAAATAATGGAAAGAAAATGGCCAGAGTAATTTTTGGCACCAGGTTTTAGAGCCAGACTCTGAATGTTATCACTCTCAAAACAATACATATTTAATAGGTTTGACAAATTATATTTTGGTGTTTCATTATATTTCCCTCACATTATCTTCCACTGATAAACATGGGTAATTGGAGCTCATAGACAACCTAAGCTCTCTATTTTCTGCCTATTATTGGTTGAAGATGGTCATTTCTTAGCTGCTGTGATGTGTGGGAGGCTTTGGCGAAGTGTAACTTAACATTTTATTGTCTTTCATGCATTTTAGGGTAGCATAATCTGCCGGCACGCCTTAAAAGAATTAAAGCAACATAAAATCAGCCTTTTCTTTCCAGGTCTATATCTTTTGTGAAATCCATATAAATATTAGATCAGAGGCCCCTGTGGTAAACTGCTACCATATCTCTGGCTCTGAAGCTGTAAAATGAAAACCTCTAGATATATTAAGATGACATGAAATGCTTCCTTGTTCTGCACTGCTTACCATTTAAGAAATACCTTTGACACTAGTGTTTTATCTGCACAATTACTGGTTTTGTTAATGAGATATAATGAGCTGCCATTTTGAAAGATTCTTCAATGATGGGTCTCCCTATTGTTGTTGCGCCGTGCAGGCTGACTCCGAGCACTGGCTGTCCCTGGAGCCAAGAACATGGCAACTAATTATTCTGCTGTATTCTGTCTGATGTTGTGAGTCCCTGTACAAAATTAGTGAAATTGATAATTAATGCATTTAGTTTGCGAACTATTATTTGACTCTGTCTATTGCAAGAGGAGAGCGTTGACATTTATTTTCTTAAATTCTTGTGATGAGGAGCATTTCATACTCTCCAGTATTTTTTGTGATAGTTCAGTTTTTCACTCATCCGTGGAGTGAGGAGTGTGAGCCCTGGATCTGTTGTGGCTGCAAATGCTTAGAGTGACCTTGAGGTGTATGCCCACATATATCAAATATGTTGGAGATGGTGTTGGCTTGGGGTTTTTTTTTTTTACTTTACTCAGCAGCACAAAAATGTATTGAGACACAGTGAAAAAGGGGAAAAAAAAGGTGAAGGAGAAAGAAGAGACAAGAGTGATGTTATAACTATCAAATTCAGTTTTTGTCTGTGGATGTGAAAGCTTCTCTCTGTCAGGTTTTTGGTCTTCTCCTCAGGAGTGTGTGGGGCTAGCAACGCTTCTCATCTGAGCTAACTACAGTAATCTGATATATATCTTTAACATTTCTGATTACAATTGGGAAAGGATTACATTCTGTATGCGTTCAGTTTGAACTAGGCTTGTCTTGTCTAGTGAGAATGAAGGTTTCCAGATGCTAATCAGATTCGTTAACAAGAACAGCTGTGTCTTCCTTCCATATCTTATTGCTTTGAAGAATTCAGTTCGTTAACAGTGGATATCTAGTTCTGCTTGATCACGGGAAGAGACATCTTCCCATGGCATCTCCACCAGTCCCTTGAGAGTGATGTAGCCTTTGATCCATTGTGATTTTAGTCAAATTAATGTAATGGATTTCGATGTGGTGCTGAAGGCTCTCAACATTAAATTCACATTTCAGCGTTTCCCTTGTCATTCAACATTAAATCCTGCTTACAATGAAGTTTAAATTCTCCTCATAGGAGCTTTGCTTCACTGCTTGAAGAACAGTTGGGAACAATGTATTAACACAACCAGATTAACAGTATAAGAAATCTGATTGATGAATATAGGCTTGGTCTATATTGTGATCGGTTCCCTTTCAGTCCAGTCGAGTGTGAGTTAATTGGCTGAACAATAAAGACACATCCATTCATTTTCAGTCCTTTGTGTAGGATGCCTGTTTTAAATTTAGATGTGACATGGACTCAAAATGGACTGAAGTGACTTGTGCATTTGTATGAGTCACACTGAGTAAGTCTTTGTTCAGATGAGTCTGCATATAAAGGGCACAAAATCAGTCAAACGAGAAAGTCATTTTTTAAAAATGTACCATTATCCCACTGTGAGTCACTGGAAGAGATGCTGTCTTACTGTCATGGCTCAGTCTGTGAAATGTATTTAACCATTGGTAAAATTCAGCGTCCAGGTTGATGCTGTGGATTCTGATGACTGTTTTCTGTGCATTATTACAACTCCGATTAGCAGCTACACTTGGTTTGACGGCCATTTCTCAAGTCCACACAGGCCACAGCATTGCTAAGTAGTGTAAAGGCCACAGAGGAGTAAAGCATTCACCAATAAAAGCAGACATGATACTGATAACTTCAAGTATGAGTATTATTTAAAATTAAGAAGGGTAGAGTAATAGACGTGAACATGGTTTGCCTTTTCCTATTATATATTTTTCATGCATTTTCACTATATAAAGACAGTTCGACACAAATGCTTTCATCCAAGATGAGTGTGACTTCCCTTCATGCATACAATGCACCCATAAATGTCATTTTACTCTATTACACTTTTACACATACAACAACAGAAGTTCAAGTGATGTAACACATGACAGTTGAATGACATTTGACATGAATGACATTGAACATCACTCATTCATTCTCAGACATCTAAACAGAGGGATTATTCAGACCCATACGTTTAATTTGTGTCAGCCTTTGCATGACGTGTATAACAATGTGCACTTAATGTTCTTTTCTCTCCTCCCCACCCCCTCTGCCCATGCCTCTACCCTTTCTTCACAGATATCTCAGACCGAAATGGTGCCCTGTATCATTTTCATCGCCTTGTTTGTCACTGCGGTGCGATCCCAAGATATCCATCCCTCACAGGCATCATCCTCTATTAGTGAGTCTTGTGACTCCTTGTGCTCCTGCGAGGGGAAAGATGGCATCCTTCATCTGAACTGTGAGCAGAGAAACATCAGCAAAATCTCCCAAATCATAGTCCCGTCAGGTGTGCCCTTCCACCTGAACCTTTACAAAAATGACTTGGTTGAGCTGCGCGCTGAGGAAATGGAAGGGCTTAAGAATGCCCTGTCACTGCACATAGGGGGTAATAGCATACAAGAGCTGGAACCAGGGGTCTTTAGCGCTCTCGGTTCACTTAAAAAACTCCACATAAATAGCAATTTCCTCGTCACTCTGAAAGAGGACACTTTTCAAGGCCTGGTGAATTTGGAGTTTCTCCAAGCTGACACAAATTTTATTCGGGTCATCGAGCCAGGGGCCTTCAACAAACTGATCCGCCTCAAGGTCCTCATCCTGAATGATAATTCCATCGAGTTTTTACCCAGCAACATTTTCCGGTTTGTGCCCCTCACGCACCTGGACCTGCGTGGAAACAAGCTGCAGACACTGCCTTACGTGGGGTTTTTGGAGCACATCGGCCGGATAATGGAGCTTCTCCTGGAGGACAATGACTGGGTCTGCGACTGTGACATTTTACATTTAAAAATCTGGATGGAAAACATGAGGGCCCAGTCTGCAATTGGGGATGTGGTATGCAGCACACCACATCACCTTAAGGGAACCATTCTGGCTAAAGTGAAGCGGGATGTTCTGTGCCCGTCTCATGCAGATATTAACCTGGAGGAGCCATCAAAGTCGCTGGATATGGTCGTTACACCCTCGTCCAAAGTGTCTCAGGTTCCCAAGTTGGTCAACGCCAAAGATGACGCCAAGGTACCGACCCCCTCTCACTTTCCTGGCAGCCCTTGTGTGGAACACTGTTCCTGTCACAATCACCCTGTGGCTGGGTTTTTGATGCATTGTCAGGACAGAGGGATTCAAAAGGTGTCGGATATCGGAATACTTCAGCAAAGTCCCACTAAACTGGTCATGACGGGAAATATGATTCAGAAACTCTTGAAATATGATTTCGTCACCTATGATAGTTTAGAATTGCTCAACCTGGCAAACAACAGAATTGATTACATTGATAATGAAACTTTCCTCAGCCTGAGCAGTTTGAAAAAACTGTATTTGAATGGTAACAGAATTGAGAAACTGTTTTCCACAATGTTTGTGGGGCTCCACAACCTTGAATACCTGTATCTGGAATACAACCTTATCAAAGAGATTGCCCCAGGCACATTTAATCCCCTGCCAAACCTGAAGCTGCTGTCATTAAATAACAACCTGCTCAGCTCTCTTCCCGCGCAGATATTTCGCAACGTGCCCCTCACCAAATTAAACCTGAGGAAAAATCTACTTATGCACCTGCCAGTGAGCAACGTGCTTGATCAACTCGACTCACTGGAGCAAATTTATTTAGAGGACAACCCCTGGGACTGCAGCTGCGACTTGCTCAGCCTCAAACAATGGGTGGAGAAACTCAGAAAGGACACAGTGGTGGGCTCCATTTTGTGTCACACCCCAAAGAACGTGATGCAGGCTGAGCTTAGAAGTGTTCGTCATGAGACTCTGTGTCCCGGTTTAGGGACCTACTACCCTATGTCTCCAGGTGGCGAGGAGAGTGTGACAGCTACACTGGGGCCTGACAGCAGCGGCAAGAGTTTGTTCAGCCCACTCACAGACACTGTCCCACTCTCTGTGCTCATCTTAAGCCTTCTTGTTTTTGTCCTCATGATTATATTCTGCTCGGCAGGGCTGGTGGTGTTTGTAGTACACCGCCGGCGGAGAAGGGCGAAGAAAAAAGCAGCGGAGGAACAGCCCAGAGAAAACACCAACAGTAGTCCCATCCACTTACATTACAGCATGTATGGGCAGAAAACTACACACCACACTCTGACCCAGAGAACAGGGTCTGCCAGTCTGTATGAAGAGAGATCACATAGTCCTATTGTTCAGATCTGCCGCAACCCCACCTACTGCTCCCAGCACAAGGAGCACGACGCAGATTTGGATTATAGCCTGGACGAGCCGGGCGCTAAGCACCACCTCTGCCGGAGTATCATGGAGAAGGAGAACACGTCTCCTCTCACGGGAAATCCCAGCTCAAAGTTCAGACCCATGACTGGAGAGTGCCCTGCAGAGTTCGTCACTCTTGGGAATCCCAACTCCTTGTACAGGAACATACTGGAGCGGGAGAAGGAGCTGCAGCAGCTTGGAATAACGGAGTACCTTAGGAAAAACATGCCCCAGCTTCAGTCTGCTGTGGACATGCAGGTCCCGGGGCACCAGGAGGAGTTAAAGCTAATGGAGACAATTATGTACACAAGACCACGTAAGGTCATGCTTGAGCAAACTAAGAATGAGTACTTTGAACTCAAAGCTAACCTGCATACTGAGCCAGACTACTTGGAGGTTCTGGAGCATCAAACTGCATTTAACTGAGCTTAAGCAGCAGAAAAAAGAAACGACGTATATTATGTTTTGAACCAAGTGCCTTGTACTGTTTGCCCTCTTGTTCCACAGTGTGAAATATGTATCATGGGAACATCACTTTAAGTTTTACTGTAGCACAGAATGTAACTGGTTTATTTTTGTGACCTTGTATTTGTTGACAGCCATGTTATGTAGCTGGTGAACAGTGTCATATATTTGGCCAAATGTAACTTAAAGAAGCTGTCGCCGTCTGTTGAGCAGACCTGGGTTGAAACCCTCTTTGAAATTCACTCAATCAGCGTTTTACGATTGATTCAATTTCCATGGTGTTACTGCAGCCAAATGAATTGATCCACAGCAGCACACACACACACCCCCACGTCTGACAGGATAAAGCAGATGTTTGGAAAGACGGGAGTGAATTTCAATCACCACTTGACCCAGAATTGCTGTTTAATCAGTCTATCCTGACTCTGGGTATGACCTGATTACACCCTCTGTCAACATAAGCCAGCTGGATCGCTGTAACCAGAATGCTCATTGTGCCGTAGAGTCAGCAAAATGCCAACATTGGAAAACAGCGATAGGAGTGGTGGTTCCACGGCTATTCTCCTGTCACTTCTTCGGATCGACCCATCCCACTGCTCAGCTGCAGTCTATGGGGTCTTTATTTATTTTTATACAAGCTGATGATACTCACAGAAAGGATGTTATTTTTCTCTCAATCAGTAAATAGAGCACTTAAAGTACAGTATATAATACACAACTGTAATCTTGTAAAAATGCATTGCACTAATCCAATGCCATAAGATGGTGCATGACAATCAACAAAGTCCTGCTGAATTTTTTTTTTTGAATTTCTGCCAGAAAAAATGAGCCACAAATGTGTATGATCCTTCAGTGTGTGTGTATGTGTGTGTGTGTGTGTGTGTGTGTGTGAGAGATCGTGTTTCACGTCACTATTTTATGTCTGGCGATACTGAAACAGCATTCAGGAACGTTGCTCCCTCCTCATGCTGTCATTGGCTGATCTGGAACTGTTGGAACTGATCAGAGGCGGGGCATATTAACCTGTTAGCACATGAATGGTTACTGTTGAAGCAACATTACCCAAGACCACGCAGACCAACCTTTCTCTGTTTCTCAGCTCGTATTAAAAGCAGTGGACCGCTGGCGACTGACATTTTTTCCAACGTGGACATTGTCACTCTTCAGGATTTATACCACACCCTCCATTCATACTCTTGGAAACTCATTCAACTTTGAAACAGTTCATGTAAGCACACACTCTGTAGCTTTTCTACTTAACTAGATTTATTATTTATTCTGTATATTTTGTATATACTTATGTTCCATTATATCTATGGTTTTTGTGTGCCTTCAGTGCTGTACAGAATATAAACAGAAGTTGTAACTGAGAAACAGGAAATAAAGAATTGCAATATTACATGAAGGTGGAAATGAATTTATGGTTCAACTTTAACTCCAGATTGTTACAGCTGCTGCTTCTCTGCAGTGCAGTGTGTCTGCTAACTGACCCACCGCTCGCCCCGACCGAAACAGAATGGCGTTATCAGCCGTCCACAGTGCAGATGTATACTGTACGTGCATACATGTACTTGTGTAAACACCATTTGGTTGTTTTCCTGCTGTGTGAATAATTCCCCCCCCCCACACACACACACACACACACACACACACACACAAACAGCTCAAACCTAGTCCTTAATCACACAACAATGGCTGCAGGGTTTTTTCACCAGCCGTGCTTTTCTGCATGACTTTCATTTCCTCCTTCTCTCTGGGGAAACACTGGACCCTCTCTAATTCCTCCATTTTCTATCATAATTGATGTATCTGAAGCTCCTTTACAAGAACACACACGTAACCTCTCAGTTGGAAGCGCCCAGGCGCACAGACACACATGCAGCACTCATACAAATACAGATGCCAACCACGAACATGAATAAATAAATGTTTATAGATTTGTGTGCAGACACACATCATTTAAACTCATAGAGACAAACAGATCTGTACGCGCACACACACACATACACACACACACACTCACACAAACTCACTCACAGCAGGGAAGACGAATTATCCTCTGCAGCTTGATCCTGTGAGACTCATAAGTAATATTCTCCTCTAAAGGTGAGACATTAGTAAAGTGCAGAACTGTGTTCAGAGTGATTCTTTACTTTAGGGGCTGACTTCAAATAAATGGAGTCACTTATGAACTAAAGCTCACCAAGGTGCCCGTCTTCCTGCAAACAAACTGCGCCGTTAAATTTGTTTAATTAGATAATATAAACTCAGAACAACTCAAAAGGTAATGAAGTATATAAAATTTTTCCTGTTTAGTCATATTCAATTTAGAGTCAGGGTGACCCAGCGTCTTAATTACGTGTCCAAAACATTTTGTACGTCTTTTTGATTTGATTTGATTTTCCCCTTAGATTATCTGAATTGTTCTAAATGAAAGAAAAACATGGCTGAAGGGAAAATATATTATAAAACATTTTCCAATTATCAGGCTTATTTTCATTGTAAATGTTTAGTATTTGTCACCAACACTGTACATCATGTAGCGTCTTCATCTGACACTTGCTAACATGCTGACATCCTCTCGCTTTAACATCACAGGTTCGCCCACGTAGCAGGTAATGTGATGAGGTTTTGCTGCATGAATTTACACAACAATGATGAAAAATGGTGGGACATTACAGCTAAGTACCTCTTGCTCAGTATAAGCTATGGAAACCTGGCTGTAATGACTATGGATTTTCATGTTTTGAGGCACCTGCTGCAATGTAACACTGTTGTCCACACGCTGATGTACCTACTATAATCACATGTAAATCAATTACATGGACGCACGAATAATGGTGCTAATTGTAGCATTCACAATAAGCACAAAAGTGTAATGGTAACCACTGATGAAAGGTATACAGTATGTTGTTTAGACACACAAAGCACACAGTCTGGATTCACCGAGTCAAACAAACTCACAGACTTGAACTCAAACAATACGCCAGTAACCAACTGTGACTATTTACAATTCATTTTGAACACTGCCTTTGTTTGTTTTGCACCACAGCTAGAAGAGAATCATTTCTTGTGACCTGAAATGTAATTGCCAGACTGAAAAATAAGGTGGTTTTTTTTTTTTTTTTTTTTTTTTTTTTACACATGAGCACTCAAAAACAACAGCAAACATAAATAATTCTTTTGATACACCAAATAACACATTACATTATTGTAATGTTAGTATTTGTATTCCCTCCATTAAGGCAGGCAACAGAGAGGACTTATTGGAGCGTCCAGTGTCTCATTTGCACTGCAGATGATATATTAGCTTTATTAGCAAAATGCTTTCAAAGAGCGGTCTGAAAAATCTATATCATCTCACCCAGTTATTATATTATAAAATGGTCTATCTGTTACATTGTCCTCCAACCACAGGCCATTAATATTCATATCTGCGAGCACAACAACAGAACATCTCTTCTGGGCGTCGTTATCGATCCCTCTTTTGCATCCAAGAGCATCACCAGGTTCTTTATAGTAAGCTGCAGTCAATTAATGCCTCGCACATTACATTATTCAGACTGCACCTCTTCCTTGCCTTTTAATTCCTCCTGGCATTTAATGAGCAGTGAGTGGCAGAAATACAGAACAATCGCGCTGTTGGATATATAATTGCTGGAGGACAAGAAGGGGCTCAGTGCATGCATGAGGTGGAGAGATGCAGGTCTAAATTTGAATTTAGTTACTCTTCCTCAGGCGTGGATGAAGTCATCAGGATTAGTAACCTATGACAGTGGTGACCTACCTAGAATTAGTAACCTATTCTATTTGCTCTAAGTGAGTCAGATAAACACTAACATGATACAGGTTCTATGGGAATCAGTTTATTAAGCCAAAGCAGCTGAAGTAAGTCTTACATTCATGGAGGTCCATTTTTGGTTAAATGTATTAGAGAGGTACTGATTCAACTTTATGGTCATTTGAAGAATTTAATTAAAACAATAAAACAATTTAATTATTCAAAATGTAGCCTTATGTCATCTCTGGAGGTGCTTTCAGACAGCGAGCAGTCTGGTGTCTGAGCTCCCTGAATCGCACACCTCTTCACCAGCAGATAAAAATATCCAGTATCATTGAAGAGAAATAATCTAGGAGCAACATCATCTTCAAAGTTTGAGAGTCTTGGTGCGGGTCAATAAATAACATTTTGTGATGCATCGCATCACAACATGCACGTATGCAGAGGGCTGTTCGTAGGAGTGGAGGTCACCGAGAGCATCGCTCCCCTGAGAAAAATTACAATACATCGACAGCAACTGCTCGCTGTCTGAAATCACTTTGAGAGTGTAGAATGTAGCACAGGACTGAAGAACTATGACAGCGTTTTTTTGAAGCTGTAACAGACCTGTCTGCATCATGTGATTTTCAACGAGTAGTTCTCAACCTAGCAAGGTATTAAGAATTCATCAGCCTTTGCAGTGACACTACAAGCTGCTTTAAAATTCTCTCCACGTCATGTCTGACGCTGGATTCCACCGGTGGTCACTTTCATTGACGGAGCATTATTTAGAATGAAGCGCACATCCACCAATACCTCCAAACAACCATCCAGTTTCTGCTTTTTACTACTCAGGGTCACGGTGCGGGGAGGAATCCCAGCATGCACCGGGGCAGTGGAAGGCAGACACGCATAAATTGCAAGTTTATGTAAAGTGATACAGAGCATTGAGCAGGTTAGAGCATAAAAAATTTGCATTAAATCTATTAAAATGTCAGCTGATGCTGTAATTGTTGCCAAAGGTGTTTCTAATGTATTCCACAGACGTATACATGACTCCTCATATATTCCACTGAACTCAATTAGATTTTATCTGCACTTGGTTCCTTCTTATTTTTGTCAGTGTGTGTATTCAAGGCACTGAAGTGACATTAATCCATATCATAAGTGTCCACATGCTGTGGAGTGTGTTCAGGAGCCTCAACCATGAGGGGGGACTTTGTCTGTCAGTACACCCCCGCTTCCTGACTGAACTGTAGTCTGTTACACAGCTCTACCCTGGGGGCGATCTTATGATGCCGGCTGCCAAGCAGAGCAGCTTGCTATGAAGCCGTGGACATTGAGCCCCTATCCTGTTGTTCACTTGGCACACTGTTTAAACACAAAGCCGGTGACCCAATTTTTGCATCTGAACATCAGAAGTATTTAGTCATGGGATGTACTGTATTGAATCGTTTGTTCAGAGAGCGGCCTCACAGGTATAGCGGATAAAAACCTGTTATATGAAAGGGAGAAATCCCTCAAACCGCACGTTAAAACCGTCCTCTGACAATAGATTTTTGAAATTTCTGGCTGTGTTTTGTTGTTTGTTTGTTGTAGACATTACACTGAGGCGTTTTCAGTGCCACTGCTGTGTCACTCTCTCTCTGAAGCCACCGCTCTGCACCAGTTTCCCCGCCCCACGTAGCCTCAATAGACCAGAATGCAATGCAGCTCTTGAGCACTGAGCTTTAAGTGTCTGATTTCTTCTACTCATGGAAAAAAATAGTCTTACAAACTTCAGTAATGTCTCTATATGCACAGATCACAGCTGAAAGTTCAGGTATTTTCTCTGGCATTCTGGGAGATGCAGGAAATAACTACCTGGACTTGACACAAGAGGGTACAGTGAGAGAAAGTGGGCGCCAGACAAAAGTAAATTACAGCACTTCATCACCGAAAAAAGCTCCTGGAACGTGTCGAAAATCCCAGTTTAATGATATATAACAGTGTAAAAGTATCTAAGGGAGGATTTCTCCTTTTAATGGAGTGTGTGCAGTATTTTATCAGGTGTTACATACAGTACAGCGCAGCTCCGTGAAAATGGATGGGGAGTAATAGAGGAAAATGTAGAGTGTGAGTGAGACCATAACCAATAGATGGATTAAATGGTGGGCAACACTGGGACGTACAGATATAGATTGTGTTTTATGAATAGTATTGATTTGTTCTGTTCTCTTCAAAAGAGCTTTTTTTTTATCTTAAATCCATTGGGAAACAATTACTGTTTCAAGGAGTCTAGTGTATTGATTATCCTTGTTGATCATACAGGAAGTGATACAGATAAGGGGATTGCATTAGACACATTTGTAAGCTTTGAGCCGAAAAACCTTTATCTCAGTAGAGGATATACACTGATATGATTCAACCCCCATCAATTATCCGCTACCCGCTGTGGATCTATAGGATGTCTTTGGATTTAAATGAGGCCACATGAGTAAAATGTAGCTCAGCATCAGGATGTCATTTTTAATCTGAGAGCACACCAGATGCCACTTCAAAAAGGAAACAAAAAGTTGAAATCCAAAGTATTTCTCTCTAATATTAAACATTTAACACAAAATAAAACACAT